TATGCGCTCCAGCAAATTTAATCATAATAGTGATTTTTACTACAACAAATATACTTTATGAAATCAATGTTTCCAAAAGCTGTAATTTGAGTATTTGAAATGGTTTCACCACATGCACACAGGATTCTGAATAGGCCGTCATGTTTTCATCGGAAAGCCAGTAATAACTGAGTTCAGTTTTACTAGCCATGAGAGAGACTCTAGCTGTGTTTGGGCTGAAACCGCTTCAAAAGCAGGGAAGACGATGTGCTTGACTTTTTACAATATCACTTCCAGATGTTTCATTACAAAACAACTTTCAAAGACCTCACCGCAAGAAAACCTTCTCGTGTGAGAGGAGCCAGGACACAAGAGTGTGGATTTCAGAAACCCACAATTTTCACATTTTCATTTCGGTTGGAAAAAACAGCATGCAAAACTGTCTGGAGGAACACCAATAAAGTGCTAGTATTAATGATAGTGTTACAACCTGTCCAACAGGCCAACATACAAATCATTACCCTATGTTCCAACAGAGTGTTCCACACCATATACTATAAAAAAGGTGTTGTCCAAAGCATTATAGTAGATAGCATTGCATCTGTTTCGATTTGACAGGCAGAATTTACTCAGCAGAACAGTAAAAGCAGGATACAACAGGAAGCTTTGGCTGATGATAAAAATGGCCCCTGAAATCTAGGGGTGCATTCATTACAGTCTGCCTCTTGTGCCTCTCATCAGGCTGGCTAACACTGACTGGCGGGCTCTGACCCAGTACTCCGGAGCTTCTCTCTATTGCACCCGCCTCTCATCAAGAGCCTTGGGTGGAAAAAAAGGAGTAACATGCTGTTTACTCGCAATCCCAGGCCCGTAATTGCCAATTTATTTGATAGGCAGCCGGGTAATGATGGCATTTCACCCCTTGCCGCAGAGACTAAACGGGAGTGATTCATCCCAAGCTCCCTGCCCTCCCTGATCCAGCAGACTCCCTCTGCTCAGGACTGCTGCCTGCCTGAATGCCTGCCACCCAGACTGAAGGGGTGGAGTGTGGTGGGGGGACGTGGGGGGTGGCTGCCATGTCGGCTTCAAACGAACCCAAAAGGGAGCCCAGCGCTTCAGAGCAAATGCGGCTAAGCCTGCCAATTTAGCTGGGGTTTGGGGTTGAGGCAAACACAGCCGAGCTGATGTGCCATTTGTAGGCCTTAATGAGCTGGCAGGACGGAGTGAGGAGGGAAGGCGAGCGGGAGAGAGGAGCCTGCCAGGCCTGACCTCCTCTGGCCTCTATCTCCCTGCCAGCCAGTGCCAGGTCGGCAAACTCAGTTCATCTGCTTCAACGGAGCGTAGTCGCTCTGTGAGGGGAAGGGAGTGCTACAGCAAATACCATTAGCGAACTGTTGGTCTAATGAACAGTTCGGGTCAAAGCTAGCTCCTGTCTCACACTGCTCCCTGGTACTAACGAGTGACTTAGATGGTTTCTCTTTGTTTTCGCGCTGTGAGGGAGCATCTCTGTGCAGCTGAACCACATGAGCAGTCCAGTTGCATTGTGCTGTATTTTCAACCAAAATAGTTTTAACATTTCAGTAGAACAAGCACATGGATAGCCATAGCTGAGAAAATGCTATAGGCCTTTATAAATAACCTGGAAATACCATCTACCTTCATCTGTAACAACACTATATTGCAATAAATTAATTGTATTCTATAATTAGAAAAACAAGCCCAAATAATCTCAGTGCGAGGCAAAACTTTTTTCACATTTTTTCTTTTTTTATTCTCTTCATCTTCTTCTTTCTATCTGCTACAAAAGCTACAACTTGCACCTCTTGCGACGTGTGAAGTGGGTTTTTACAGCATGGCTGGATGGGACTTGTTCAGAAACCTACGGGGAGCGGAGATGAAGCCTCACACAGTGTGACCATCTAAAATGACATGGGGTCTAAAAGTCTGTCTTCATGCTGCCCAGCTTTCAGCAGCTCTTCTGAAGACATGCTCAGTCTCCTGTGGGGTGTCTTGACCACATGATTCAGGGGGAACCAGCGCTGCTGTTCCTTCTATCCTCCAGAGTGTACTGAGTGGCTGAAATGCCAGCTCAGGTGGAAGTGATTATAGAAAGGGCGATAGATGGTTCCTGAGAACAAGTTGGGGGGTGGGGAAAGTAGAAAGTTTCTGTTTGAGAAAACCTGAAATCCTTAAAATGAATTACAGATATAATTTGAAATTTAGGACAACATTCCAATAAATTAAGAATATTTAAGTAAACACATTGGCTGGTGCTATAAATGATATGCATTTCAGGGGGTGATTTCATATGGAGCAAAAGAGACAGTGGCACATGAGGTGACTGAGTAATAAAGACAGACCATAACATGATCTAGCTGTTAAAACATGTATCATTAGTGTATAATGAGTCAAAGTGCAAATCATCACAGAAATGTAATCTAAATGGAGGGAAGTGGATGACCGAGGTTATGTCAGATTATACTGTTGCCAATCCATGCAAAGGATTATTAAATTTCAAACAGTGATTAAAGAAATGGCATGAAGTAAAGGCCTTTAAAACACATATTAGAACAGTTACAGGCAGTATTTAATGGATTTTTGCTTGTTCCTTTAAGATAACAACTAATATCAAACTTAATGTATCAACAAAATGCAACCCTTTTATCAAATAGCTAGCTGTGCCAACCTCTTTAAGGTAATCAATATAATTTTGATATGGAGCCATAACATGCATTATCCTACAAAGTGTGTAAAAACCAAACAGAATAAAACAGGGATAATTGGGAGCCTTCTGCTTGATTTGACCATGGGAATCAAATTTAGATAAAACCAAAACCTGGCACTCATACACTGATTGAGTCTGATTGTTGAGTCTCATTCACAGGTCGTCAAATACAGACAACGTGGGAATGACACTCAACAATCAACTATCTTTCTTGGCTCTGATTGGCTGTTTTTATTCAGGCACGGTTGATTCTTGCAAATTCCATTAAGAGCACTAGGAGGAGCCAGAAGAACCAGATTTTTCCCTACCGAATTACCTGCCTCAGATGTAACTCAACTGTAAGGAAGTAGGATATAGTGAAAGTTTCAGAGATACCAGAGACTTTTAGAGATCATGACAAAACAGATGAGACAAACTGAAAGCTTCTGTATGACAGTCATAGTAAAGCATATTAACCATCCAGGTTAAGTGTTTTCAAACCTCCACTGTTAAAGCAAAACTTGCCTTGGTATACTGCTGCACAGTCACCACAGTGCAGTCTGACAGAAATCAGCAAGTATCATTTCAATTTCTGTTGTCAACATCAAATTACTTATTTCATTTCATGCCCAGTCAAGCATCGTAAAGCTACATGCAGAATCAGTTTTGCTTCAGTTGTTCGGCCATGTCTTTCTCAAAGACTAGCTTGCCTCCCAACTGACAGCTTTAATTATGGCCAGATATCTGATCGCTTTCGCTGTAGATTCTCCACACAAATCAAAGAGCAGGCGGTGGGTGTCTGGCAGCAAAGGTCCCTCGACCCGCTCGCCTTGGAATATGTCACAGGGCGCAGGGACACAGCCGCTCTTTCTTCTGTCAGTTAATGCTTGCCTTCAGCTCCTCCACAAGGAACAAGGACCTGGGTAAGTAGTGTCTTTTTTTGTATCAGTCATAAAGAACCTCTGGGAGAGTGAGAGAACGTGTGTGTGTGTGTGTGTGTGTGTGTGTGTGTGTGTGTATAGGATGTAAATAGTGCTCTTCACCTGAAGTACTCCAAGAGTACACTTATGGTCATTTAAGATTTACCACAAAGTGCTCTGCTGAGGCAGAATTTTATTAGTTTAACACCAAAAGAAATCTTGACAAAATGGATAATATCACATTAATAACTTACCTTTTGTCTGTGTGACATACCATAGGTGCAAGCACTCACACACATAATGACTCTGGAGCTGAATTTACAACGTTTGGATTCAAAGTACATGCCCTGATATATAATACTGAAGTAATTCTCTAGAATAATTACATAGGAAGTTTGACGTGAAATTGCAAGTCTGTCAATCGTATCTTACGTCTCCACGGTCCTGTTTCTTGCAAAGGTTGATAGCAACTCATGAAAAATTCTAGCAGATTAATTTGCTTATAGATTTTATATTATGTTAAATATATCATGATTATTTTTAATCGGTTGACAAAAAAATCTGAACATAAACATGGTAATCATTCTCAAAGCAAGAAAATATGTAACATTTGTACCAACTGTAGAACTTTCCACAATACTAATACTGCCTCTCTAACCTTCACATATTACTCATGTCCATAAGTTACTATAATGAGTCAGTTCTATCACTTGTTCAGTCAGCACTGTTTAGGAGCAACTGCAACTCTCTTGCTGATCAACACCGGCTGTTAAAGGTAACCTGTGGAGTTTTGGACCTCTGGTAGCACTATAGAGCACTTTTTGTTTGCACGTGTACACAGGCACACATTTGCCTGCACATCCACATGGGTTATAGACCTTCCTGCTAATGCTGACCCCCTTTTCACCGATCGTCAGGTAGTTGTAATGTGCCAAGAAACGCAGTAATACGCCAGAAGAGGAAAAACATGCTTGCTAGTAAACATAGACGTAAACAACGCAGGTTTCAAACAGCTCTGCAAATGTTTTATGGAGGAAGGAAATGCATTCATCATGTTTTGTGTGAGTTACACTGAATGTAAACTTTTGTTTGTTCACCAAAACTCCACAGGGCACCTTTAAGCACTGCTGATGTAAAATACTTACATTTGCCAAACAATTAGGACGTACTATATGTGCTCAGACTTTGGTTTCCAACTATTGTGTCCAATCTTTTCTTTTTTCTGTTTTTTTTGGTCTATATTTGAAATGCTGAAACCATGTGCTAGGAACACTAAATAGAAAAATATGAACCAATTATTTCGAAGAACATGACATACAATTAAGGGATGTTGTGATAAGCCCTAAAAGAACCTCATGCTACCACTGAAGAGAGCTTGTTTTTTTTATTGTACTCACATCTGTCAGTCTGTCTCTGGAGCTGCTCCTGATGGAGGGCTTGGACTCTCCGCTTACACTCTCGCTGTCGCTGTCCTTACAGTTGTTCTGCCCTGGCTTCAGCTGCCAAACACAACACAAAAGGAGACCAAGGGTTAACAACATGAAGCAAAACTGTTAACACTGCAGTTTAGAGCTTTACATGGATAACGCTGGCTAGGGAAGGCATCCCACAGAAATCGGTTCATGAATATGTGAGAACTGGCAGGAGCTGCGGCGCTGTCTCTCTAAATCTGTCATGTTTCTGAGCCTATTCATTGGCCATCACTCCGCTTGCCAATGATAGACACCATCTGATCTCGCAGTATGAAACTACTCTCAGCCCACGAAATAGAGAACAGGGACAAAGACCCCTCCAGAACCTTCAAATGGAGCCACTATCCTTTCCAAGCAGACACCACATGCCGAGGCAGCAGGAGCTCAGCAAGTGTCATCCTCTAGACACTCTGTTCGAGATGCAGCAAAATGACAGGAATAAAGAGGAGGACGTGCCAATCCGCAAGCATCTGAGGCTCTTCAAAATCTGGAGAACAATAAAAGACTCTTGGGAGTTGAAAGAGGTGGGGTCTGTACTCCCCATCCAAGTCTGCGATTGATGTCCTCTGAAGCTCCCATGCTGCTCCTTCCAGACCAGACAAATGCTGCAGGTTTCATTTCAAAGCACATAAAAAGATGGCTTTATGGGACAGTGCAGTAAACGGCTGCTCTGCCACCTAATAGGAAAAGCAGAGTGTGGTGCTGCACACACAAAGGACTTGGATTAGAAGATGATGGCACTTTCCTTTCCCCTTCCTCTCCTGCTCTGGAGGAAAAGGACACAGCTATAGTATATGTATTTTTTTTTTTTACCTCTCCTTCAGTATTCTCTTTTCAGGTATCGGCCATAATTTAGAGCAATGAAAGGGCACAAGGTGGGGGAATACCAAAAGAACCCTTGAGTTGAGCGGATAATTAAAATGAAAATGTTCCCTTTTCTGTAGCCATTAGCGGTGTGAAAGGAATCCTATTCCTTGGGAGAATTGCATGATGGGTGGAAGGCGGGTGGATTTGCCAGGGTGGTGAATGTGATAAGAGAGTTTGAGCACTGGGAATGCCTGATGGGCCTGTTTGACTCTATGTGTGTGTATATGTGCACATGAGTGGATGAGACAAGGCTGGGGGAGAGTGCACAAGAACCAAATGTGAGACATGCACAGACACATGCACACCAATGCCCAGCGCTGTGATAGCACTAATTACCTCCAACACATTTTATTCCCACAAAAACCAGGGCACATTTTCTCTCTTTTTCTTGTAAATGCCAGTTTGTCTGAGGGGAGTTTACATATTTTTAGAGAGAAAAGGGGAATAATATCTCATCCACCATGGTCCGTGAACTGATCCTTGAAGAAAGGGCGAGGGACGCAGTTTACGCCCCAGTCTGTGGCTCCTTCATCAAAACATGTTGACCTATAATATTTATTAACCAGCCTGTGTCCCTGCTGACAAAACCGGGCAGCGCACGCCAGCACACTCATGCATTTATGAATGTGCACACACACAAAAGGAAATACGCAGACCTCACTGAAAACTGCTGCTGACTCCTGCATCACAGATTTGCAGCCAAAAATCAAACTCATATATGGTAAGCTTATAAAGAGAATATAATAAGGGATGTGTGGGAGAGGTATAGAGATCTGTCCTTTATTAATCAATGTAGAATCCAACTGATTCTGCTATAGTGAAACCACATAATCACACTGTCTCACACTGGCTTATCAGTGGTAAAGTACTCCATGAAATCAGAAATCTTGCTCAAATTTAACTGTGTGTAATGTCTGAAGAACATGTCTAATAAAGACGTTCCAATAAAGAGCGGCTCATCTTTCAGGGCTATTACATTGCTTGGACCTGATTACACAGCTATTTGAAAACGTATCCCTCAGCTTGTTCCCTTTAATTTCCCCCTGAGCTCCCTTAAATTACTTGAGAGAATTGTGTTTTTTTTTCATCCACTCTCCCCTTTCTGAGCTTTAGATGATGGATTAATTTCTCTTTATGGTGTGATTAATGGATGTCTTAAGCAAATGGAGGGAATGCTGGTGGTCATTGCCATCAAAAAGTGAAGCTGAAATTTAATGACCTGCTGTCTGATGATAAATCTAAACGAGAAGCCCATGTGTGTGGGTGCGGGGGCTGTCTCTGTGACCTCTACTATAACAACGCTGATCTGATCACTCCCACTTATTACAGCGTGCAAGTCATTCTCTGTATTTTTATTGCCTTTTAAACTTAGCTTCAGTTTTAAACCTGCTGTAATGAACACCAGTACACTTCACAGCATTCAACAGAGATCTAAGGATCTGAGGGATTAGACGTATGTGCAGATGCCCGGGACTGGTGTGCTTTACTGATGCAATAGCATAAAGACATTAATTAACACGCAGGTTGAGGCATACAGACGTATTTATTTAATGACCTTACTGTATCTGCGCAGCCTGGGTAGGAAATGGCCCTGCAGGAAGATAACAAACAGATGGTTTTAATATTCTAGAGGCTAATTTCACAACAATTAAAGACACAGCGAGACATTAGCATCTAATGAAACATTTAAACTACTACTAAGTGCATCTGCCATTAATTTCCACACAGTGAGGTCTTGTTTTCCTGCAATCTGTTCTGTGTTAGGGGATAAAGTTTTTTTCCTCATCTCTCTTACCAGTCTGAATTTACTGAAGTAGAGAATCAACAACTGTTTTCAATCAGCAGCCAGCGTGATGCTTTGCAAGAGAGCAGCCCAAACCTCAGCATGAAACAGTTCAGCCCGCAAGTATGAAAAATCATATAACATTTCTTATAAATCATTCTTTAAAAAAAACAAATGCTTTTGCTTAAGATACTAGCAACTATTCAAACTGTTGTTGTCACACTTCATCTGTATAGTCCAGTGGTGACAACTGAACATCCCCTCAAACAATTGTAATGCATTAGTAATATCTGGGTACTGGGTTTCCAGAGATACTCATAACTGAGCGAAAAATAGTTCAACAGTGTTATATTGTCTGTGGAGACACAACAAACACACAAACATTGACTTTTCACTTGATAGCTGCATGTCAAAGTGTTACTGTTACCAGTAAAACATAACTGCAGAACTACTATCACTAAACACATGGACTTATCCACCAGCTCCTTTCTACATTTATTATTTATGAACAAGTGGAGGAATTCTCACATTTTCTATATATTTTGATATAAGGCTCGTTCTGCATGGCAGCTTCCATCAGTGCAAAGACAATGACACAAGACCAACCATTTGACAGATTTTCAAAATCATTTAATCAGTCAGTCAAACAACACATTCTATTGCTTTTCGTTGATTAAAATATGTTTTAGTTGTAGACAGCCATAGTTAAGAGCACAAATACAAAACAGACCAGTATTCTCTCCATGGTCTGACATTATTAATCAAAGGAACCATATTATTTGACAAAAAGGCCAAAAGCCAGAGAAGATAGTTAACTCTATCTAAATAGATGATATAATATAGAAGCAAATGACCTGTCAATGACTTCCTCTTAAAAACGCTACCACATTATGGATTCCCAATAATGTGTCAGACGATTGCCATTTTGTTGACTGGCCTTAACCAAAGCTGGGTTCTTCTCATACAACCCACTGTATAATCACTCATTCCCTCTCCACACTCTTGAATTTCACTTCAGTCCTAACATACATGAGAAACAGCTGAAGGACTTTGCTTTTCAATGTGTCTATTAAAGGTTAGACTGAAATTAACAAGCATCTTTATGGATCATAGCAGTGTTACTGAAGATGCCACATGAAATACCAAAGGTGCTGTTGAATGTCATGTATGCCTCACAAATACTTATCTCGATGTGTCTACTGAAGCACAAGATGCCTGTCTTCACAATAAAGAAAATTTCATTAAAAAGACAAAATTAAAATTGTATGTTTTCATGTCAGTGTTGTTGCTGGTGGCAGCAGGAATAATAGTGTTATTTAGGCACTCAAACATGATTCACAGCATACACTAATGCATTACAGTACATTCCTAGATCAGAGTGCATAACAATTATCAAATATCTCATTTAACACTGTTCCCTTGAAAAGTATGCTACAACAGTGTCTTGAACATGTGCAGTCAATTATTTTCTCACTTGCTGAAAAGTGCTCACCGTTGCCATAGTGGAATTTTACAAGTGTATTGACCTATTCTCAAGGGCTGCACTACAGACTCAATGCAATCAAGCACAAAAGTAGGCCTGCTAACATTTCTAACCACAAAGGCCTTTTTAAACAGAGCCATACACAACCGGCCTGCCCCAGCAACTCCAGCCCCAACCCCCATCCCTCATCCCACAAAAAGAAAAAAAAAGACATCGAGAGAACTGGGCTCAGTTTTCTGTACTGGCCTCAGTGGGATAGCCATCAGCTCCTGGTTTCCCTTAGTTACGCACAACAGCAGCTGCGGAGCTCGGCGGTAATAAAACCTGGAACAATTTAACGGCTTTTATTGTTCTTCTGCGGCTTTCAGAACAGCTAACCTGTCCTCTCAGGATCTGGCAGAGAGAATCCCACTAGGGCAGCAATGAAAGAGGATCTCATTTACCTAAAAGCGCTTATAAATTTTTAATTTGCTTTAACAAGTAAATTAACAAGTCTCTCATTTGGGAAGTTTTATGGCTGCTTGCCACTGAGGGAGGACCATGAAAGTTTTATAGATAATCCACTACCTAGGCTGTGTTGCTGATAATAAATTGTCTATTTCCTGCAGCACTGTCAAATCCCCTTGGTTTCCACTGACTACACTTTGAATATCTCCTTTACGCTATCTTCACAGGTCTATATAGCAGGGCTATTAAAGTGCTGGGGAGCTTCACGACTCAGCAGTTAAAATGAACAACTTGAAGAATTTCTGTCGACTTTATACAGGCTCTCTCGTATAGCCTTAGGAGACGCCATTGCCAAACATTAGACCACATTAAGCAACGCTAATTATGTCCCTACCAGCCTGTACATCACATCAGCCTCACAGTGAGCCCATCTAGTGAAACCACCTT